TTTAAGCCTTGGCTTTTTATCCTTTTTCTTGGTAACGCTTAAAATTAATTAAAATTTCACAATGGATAATTAAAATATAAAAAATAATTGTAGGTACAAATATTATACGACAAAAACGAATTAAAATTAATCAAACAATAAAAATACAATTATTCTTCTGTCCTTTGCTTTCTGTTTAACTTAGTTTTGTTCAGCAAAACATTTATAACAAGGACAAGAATATTCTTTTAAAAGGTCATAAGACAATAAGGGAGCCGTTTTGTTATCCCCCTCCCCCTATCATCTTTACAACCACTTTTAAGTACTTGCGCCCCAAATACGAGACCTGACTCATCCTAAAGCATTTACTGTTGCAATTGGACGTAATTGGCTGGAAAGAGACCGTATTTTTCATTACAAAGACCCCTCCACCATCCCTCGTCGATCTATAAACCCTCCGACGTGATATATTTCCTTACTAAAACTTTAAAATAAAAGGAGAACTTACCATCTCTACATGGGTTATAATATCATCTGGATCAAAGGAGATCTCATCGTCTGCGGCAGCTTGATAGTCATAAAGGGCGATGGCCGTGAGCCCTGTGTCAACCAAATCTTCCTCTTGAATAAACTCAGGCTCCGCTGACGCAATCATACCTTCTTTAATGATTTGCTCAGTTTGGGGGACCTCACTAACCTGTGACCATAAGTATTTTAGCCTTCTTTTCAGAAAGGGAAACAATAAAATACCTGTCGTTGTATAGGGAATTCTTTTGGATCCTCTGCATGTGCAATCTCTTGTTGTTGAGGTCCTGCTACCTTTTCTGGCACATTTTCGCGTTGCTGCTGTTGCAACTGACGTAACTCTTCCAGTTCTTGTTTCACCTGAGCCAATTGAAAGAGAATACAATTCAGAATGAGAAGAACTATTACATATTTATAATTCTGCATAAGTTCTTTTTTAAACACAAAATTACCTGATTTGAACAGGTATTTTCCTTATTTTCATTTGCTTGTCTACTAAACTGGCTCAATTTCGTCTGATCCAGTTGTTTTGGCGTCGTCCTTGCTCCAGTTCCTGTCATTGTGTCCTGCTGACTTTCTTGTTTCAAAAATGCCAACTTGGACATGTCGATTTGTCTTGGGACATGTTCTGAAGTCACTGTTGCACCTAAATCTTTCGCCGTGTCGTTATTAAAAACCGCAAGTTTTTCTTTGAAGTCAGTTTTCCTTGGGGCTTGTTGGGTAACTTGCTGCACTGTGCTAGTTTGCTCTGAGAGCTAGGAAAGTAATTTAGGGATTAAATTCAAAAAGTGCACTTTTTTCTTTAATCTGTTGACACTCACCGTGTTCTCAAACTTGGCTCTAAGTTGTGATGGTTTGGCTTCTCCAATTTCAGGCTTAACCTTGGTATAATTTGTACCAACTTGGGAGCATTTATCATCAAAAGTAACCGCTGATTTATCCATACGATCGGTTTGAACACCGAATTTTCCTCCAAAACCTTTCTTATGATCCACTTGACTCTCATGAATGTGTGGGGCCTCGTGATGGTCCCAACCGAGTGCCGATTTATCAATTCTATCATTTTGCACCCCAAATTTTCCTCCAAATCCTTTACTGTAATCTATAAAATAATAGTATGGACTTGATACTTAAAAAATGCCGTTATTTTCTTACCCTTTTGAGATTCATGTTTTTCTAACTTTTCCACATGGTCCCATCCTAAAGCTGATTTATCTTGTCTATCTTTCTGAACTCCAAATTTTCCTCCAAATCCTGTTGCATAGTCTTTTTGTGAAGCATGCTTTTCTGTACGTTCTTTGTAGTCCCAACTGACAGCACTCTTTTACAATAAAAAAATATAGCGTATTAATGATACAAAACTAAAATTTCTTTTGTTCTTTACCTTATCAATTCTATCACTTTGTACTCCAAATTTGCCTCCAAATCCTGTACTATAGTCTTTTTGAGATCCGTGCTTTTCAACTTTACCAACATAATCATGTCCAACAGCTGACTTATCCATTCGGTCAGTTTGAACACCATATTTACCCCCATACCCATACGATGCATTAGGACCTTCCTCCAACATTTTCTTCTTCATTAAAGCATCTTCCTCTTTAATTTCTTCTCTTAACTTTTCCATGCTACAAACACAGCAGTTTTTATTTTGTAGATTTATATAGTATATTAAAAAAGTTAGGTTAACTACTTTGATGACTCATTATCTTACAATTATTACACTTAAAAACGAAAGTCTGAAACTTACTCTATTGCACCTGCTGTCCTTCCTGAGCCCTCTACAGTTGTGGAACCCCATCTCTGCTCTTCTTCAGTTACATTATTTATAAAGTCAGGATCGGTTTCCCAATCGTCATCTTCGACGTCGCTTTTAATATTTATTTGAGTACCTGCAGCAGCTTTCCACATCTTAATTTCGGTATACTTTTATGAGAAAGGTTATATATTTCACTAATTAGAATATTTTTAACAAATAAATGGTTATCACAATAAACTATCTTGGCACCACCCGGTTCATATTCATGGTCAGAAACGTCAGAAACCATAGATAATAGACATACAAAGAATAAGAAACATAGATAAGGGTCAGAAACGTCAAATTGGAAGAGCTTTACAGCATTGAAACAGGAGGGCGCACTGTAATTGTTGCAAAGTCCGACTTTAACCTTGAGCACTGGGTTGAAAGCGTTCTCTCCGGGCCAGGCACTTACAATCTTCGTACTTGAAACCTAAAACTTCAAACCATAGAACTCGGCTCCTATAAACTCGGTTATAAAGCTTCCATAGAAAGAGTATTGATTTTCAAAGTTATTAGGTCAATGTCACTGTGTTAGTAGGTCACAAAAAATCGATAAATTATGACATGCAAGTATGTTTACAAACAAACGAAAAAAAGTAAATATCAAAATCCCTAATAAAAAAAAGAGTGAAACTATTCGCACCATTACACGGGCGGCACGGGCTACACGGGAACCCGTGCCACGGGTTCGCACCACTGCACGGGTAACACGGGTACCCCGTGCAAGGTAAAATTACCGTATTTTTCACGGTTTTGGCTTGTTAATAAATGGATTAAATTGAAAATTGTAAAGGATCATTGTTAATTTTCATTTAAATATCAAACTTATATATAAGTTAATTTACATTTAAATGAATATTAAATTGAACTACGTAATGTCATTTATTTGGATTCATATTTTATTTATTAGTATATTGATGTCTTTAAATTATTTATTATTTTATATAGAAACATATAGGAATTTAAAATATAACATAAGCGAAACAATTAGTTGTTAATGAATTAATCAATTAAAAACTATGAATTAATAACTATCAATTTTTATTTAAAACTCACTTCCTTGCCGTCACATCTTTGCAGTTCGAGTATATTTTAAATTTCATTTGTTTTCGTTAGACCTAATAAACAGTCGTTGGTTAAAAGATGCACCGAATTCCGCTATAATTGAAGATCCAGAAAATCTATCAAAAATAAATGAATCTCTGGAGAAATTAACTTTAGAAAATCTGGACATCACAACAACGCCAAAACGAAACATAAACTCCATAAATGCCCGAAGGAAAATATTAAAAACATTAACAGATGATCTGATAAATATAGTAAGTCTCTCTACTGCAAATAAATTTGAAGAAAAAATACAAGTTCTGAAAAATCTCGCCATATCTTGGAGAAAAGGTGAAAACGTAGAAATCACTGTTTTGAAAGATCATCAAGACAAAAAAGAGACTGATATACAACATTCGTCTTCGATTATGATACCACCAAAAATTTCAATGCAGGGTCGTTGTAGCGGTGCTTTAAAAACAACACCCTACAAACGTAAATAAAAACCGCGTGTTCCTATATAAAAAAACAAATAAAAAGCCCTAATGCATTAATATTAACGCCGTTGATTTTGATATGATACTTATTTTATAATAATTTCATTTTTATATAAATATTTTTTTATGAATTGTTTTATATTTATTATTTGTATGGACA